GGACAATCCCTCCCAGACAGGCTACGGTAAGAAGATTCTAGAATTGAGCTAAACAAACTCTAACCAATTGTAAAATAGTTGGCTAACAGAATTTATTCCAATTCCTAAAAATCAGGACGTGGCCTGTGCTAATATCTGCTGAAACCAAACCATGCACCAGCAGCTAGTGAATTCTAACTGTCTTGAGTGAGAATTTTGCTTTCTTCAAATCCTTCTTGTTGTTCTCGACCGGAAAAAAGTAGAGTCGAATCCAATGCCAACACGGCCTGGTAACATGGAAAGTGTACGTTGCTACGGACTCAAATATTTTAGCCGACAGATAAACCGGTGAAGGAACATCAGTGGACGTTACAAAAACCTTAACATCTTGTCCTTCGTAGGCTAAATATTTTCAAGTTTCCTGATCATTCAAGAACACCTTTTGGCGGGGGAGGGTGGTGGAGGTAGTGGCACCACAATCAACAAGGATGCTATCTTGTGGGGTGAACGAATTAGATTTTACAGCATTGACAAAATTTGGGACAAAAATAAAAAGAACCAGAAGGATCGCCGCCATGGTTGAGGCTAAGAAAGACGGTGGCGATAGGCGGAGATTGGAAGAAGATGGTAGTTTAATCATCTTTTCCATCTCCAGCCCTCTTAGCGAGGAAGAAGAAAAACTAAGATTTTGCCTATGGAAGAAGAAAACTAGATTCATTTACCTATCATCAATTGTATGAACGTATTATTATTCTTTGTTGAAATTGTAAAATTTTATCGCGTGATTGAGGGATGGAGAGATTATGTCATTGAATTTCTGTTAAGTTTTGGCGCTTATTCTTGAGAAAGATGCTACATGTATAGTCCATTAATGACTGTACAAGAGGAAAAATTCTATTCTTGAAAGGATAGACTAGCAATTACACCAGTCGAACTGGTCAAACACTATCGTTTAAATTTCATGCATCGTCACTAAACTTTATGAAGAATCTTACTTGGACCATTAAACTTCAATTAAGTTTCAAATTCACCACCATGTCACATTCTCTCACCTTTTATCCATCAAATCAATGAAAAGTACTTAAGGTGCGTTTGATTGCAAGGATGGAAAATGGGTGGAAAGAAAATGTTTTACAGGGAAAAGATTTTCCTAAAAAATGTTTTACAAGGAAAAGATTTTCGTAGAAAATATTTTCCTGGGAATTGTAATTAATTGTATTTGATTGGTATAATTTTTCA